ATGCATCCCTCTTTAGCGCCTCATCTTCATGGCGACTGCCTAGAAATTATACAGCAACTGTATCGCTGTCACGAACAGGTTAGTAATTAACGTCTTGTGTTGTAAACACGTGCGTGCCTTCTTGGCCATGTTCTTGTGCTGTATACAATTTTTTTTTTCGCCTTTCTTTACAGCATCCTGTTGGGAAATTCCTAGGCGAGTGCAATGACATCAAAAGAGCATTGAATAGATGTTTAAAAGAGGAGGTATTTAAGTCTTTTTTATCTGATATCCATTTCACTTCATTAGTTGAGGGGAGATGTGTTATGTAATTCTGACTTTGATTGCGAGGACGAAATTCTCTGGTTTTGTCATATGGTAATATTTGTAGTAGAATTTTTATAAAAAGAGGTTTTAAAATTTTGATTTTGAACATTGTCAGGGGTGTGAATGATAAATCCGTCAATAAATATGTTGATAAAAATTAATGATGATGAATAAATTGAGTTGTTGTTCATCCAGCTCAGCCCCGACTGAAATTATTGAGTAACAAAGTGTGACATAACAGAAATGGGAATTTGTGAAATTATGGGATTTGTTGTCATCCTCTATGAGACCCAGATGAAAAATGCTTGTGTACCAAAAATCAGTGTGTTTGCACCAATTGACGGTGAGAGATACCACAATCTTAGACAAAAACCTTGAAACACTTTGGAAAATTCTGCTCCCTTTTGTTTTCCCCCTCCCTTTTGCAACGTTGTTGTAGCCATGCAACTTTGCAATAACATCTCAACATTGCAGGGGGAAAGGGACGTGCATAGGTGTTTCAGGGATTTTTGGTGAGGATTGTGTGAGGTATAAAAGGCCATCTGGTTATCATTACACGTTATTCAGACGTGGCGGCATGCTCGAAGAAACAGCAAGCGTGACCTATAGCGTGAGGTGTTTTGATTTTAAGGGCTTTAAATATATGACGAGAATTTCTTTCTTGGCAATCTTTACCGCTCAAATTTTCCAGAACTGTTTCTCGATTTCAAGGAGAAAAAATTACAATACCAACTTTATTTAGAACAGGGAGCTAACCAAGAAGACAAGGGTTTGGTCAACATTACTAATTTCCAACAGCAGACCCAATGCAGTCAATGCAGAATTGTACAAGACATGATATCAATGAGAACTAATTTAAATCCAATAGTGAACATATTTTAATTAGTAAGTGGAGACTTGCATGCCAAATTTGAGAGAAAAGTAATTTTTCACTGAATGGACAAAATGGAAATGAAAAATACAATTCTTAATACCTGCAGTATAGAGACGAAAAAATGTGATAAAACTCGATGGATAACTGTATGCAGCGCCGAATGGAAATTCAGGAAATTCAAGGAAAGAAAACAAATTAACCCGATACTGAGCAACTCACTGAGTTCTATTTAAATAGAACTCGGCCTGATATAATTGCATGATGCATCTGTTGCGTAATGTAAACAGTCATCGGTTAACCCCCCGTGTTAATGCCACAGTTTACCATTGTTTTTTGCTCTTGTTCTGTTTCAAATGACTGTGTTTTGTAGCTTAAAAAACGGTTTGATATGAAGTTAACTAAATATCCAACCCAACTGTTAAGTTCAGATCTGGCCACAGCAGGAATTTCAGGGTTTTTACAACGGTTAACCATACTGTGTAATAAACAAAGATGTCAACAGTGTTACTTTCATATTTAGCAACGGTAAACCGTTGACCCTTTTCTCCTTGTGAGCAGACAGCACTAGAAAGTAACAGTTGTACGCCTTGGAAACAATGCTGTTATTAAAGACGTTTTTGTTTGCAGATATAAATACGTGCTTTGACTTTTTGAAATCCACTGACACCGAAAAAACCTAATGGTAAACCGTTGGGGTAAACCGTGGCCTGTGCACATTACATGACACAAGCATAACGGAATTAATTCGGGGTGAGTCCCATTTCAGTAGAAATACGGTCAGTTCTAAGTTACCTGCCTAACATTTACCTTTAGAAATTACTCTTATCAAGGAAAAAATACTTCTGTAAATTGGCTGTTCTAGCAAAGACATTTCTTGTGCTAAATCTTTGCAGGTCCTAGCACAATTACACAGTTCTAATGTGACAGAACAGCTCACAACTGCAAATTCTGCTTGCATACACTCACTCCCTTTCAAGTGACAATTTCTTTTCAACACAACTCTTCTCCTTAGACACTTCACCTTCTCCTCTTACATTCAGAAAAAAAAATTCACATAATTTATCGAACTTCAACAAACGTGTACATCATCATTACCACAGATGTTACAGATGCAAGGCAGGCGCGTAGTCGCCACTAAAAATGTTTAACTTTTATTTGGCATTTCTTGCGCATGCTCCGAAAATTTCACACCACTTCAGACAATCTTAGACAAAAACCTTGAAACACTTTGGAAAATTCTGCTCCCTTTTGTTTTCCCCCTCCCTTTTGCATAGTTGCGTGGCTATGTTGTGGTTTAATTTTATCCCTGGTTTAATTTTTATTTCCCATTGTTTTAAACTCATTATCATACATTACCATACCCCAAAACAAAGAGAAATCAAATTTAAACCAAGGATAAAATTGAACCACAACATAGCCACGCAACTTTGCAATAACATCTCAACATTGCAAGGGGAAAGGGACGTGCATAGGTGTTTCAGGGATTTTTGGCGAGGATTGTGTGAGGTGTAAAAGACCATCTGGTTATCATTACGCACTATTCAGACACGGCGGCATGCTCGAAGAAACAGCAAGCGTGACCTATAGCGTAAGGTGTTTTGATTTTAAGGGCTTTAAATGTATGACGAGAATTTCTTTCTTGGCAATCTTTACCGCTCAAATTTTCGAGAACTGTTTCTCGATTTCAAGGAGAAAAAATTACAATACCAACTTTATTCAGAACAGGGAGCTAACCAAGAAGACAAGGGTTTGGCCAACATTACTAATTTCCAACAGTGGACCCAATGCAGTCAATGTAGAATTGTCCAAGACATGATGTCAGTGAGAACTGATTTAAATCCAATAGTGAACATATTTTAATTAGTAAGTGGAGACTTGCATGCCAAATGCGAGAGAAAAGTAATTTTTCACAGAACGGACAAAATGGAAATGAAAAATACAATTCTTAATACCTGCAGTATAGAGAAGAAAAAATGTGATAAAACTCGATTGATAACCGTATGCAGCGCAGAATGGAAATTCAAGGAAAGAAAACAAATTAACCCGATACTGAGCAACTCACTGAGTTCTATTTAAATAGAACTCGGCCCGATATAATTGCGTGATGCATCTGTTGCGTAATGTAAACAGTCATTGGTTAACCCCCCGTGTTAACGCCACGGTTTACCATTGTGTTTTGCTCTTATTCTGTTTCAAATGTGTGTTTTGTAGCTTAAAAAATGGTTTGCACTGTTCTAATGTGACAGAACAGCTGACCAAACTGCAAATTCTGCTCGAATACACTCACTCCCTTTCAAGTGAAAATTTCTTTTCAACACAACTCTTCTCCTTAGACACTTCACCTTCTCCTCTCACATTCAGAAAAAAAAATTCACATAATTTATCGAACTTCAACAAACGTGTACATCATCATTACAACAGATGTTACAGATGCAAGGCAGGCGCGTAGTCGCCACTAAAAATGTTTAAGTCTTTTTTGGCATTTCTTGCGCATGCTCCAAAAGTCTCCCGCCACTTCAGCGAATCTTAGACAAAAACCTTGAAATGCTTTGGAAAATTCTGCTCCCTTTTGTTTCCCCCCTCCCTTTTGCAGTGTTGTCGTAGCCACGCAACTTTGCAATAACATCTCAACATTGCTTGGGGAAAGGGATGTGCATAGGTGTTTCAGGGATTTTTGGCGAGGATTGTAGCATCCTTATGTTCTGACAACTGCATGCAAATCCTTTGAAGGCCAATTTTAGAGGATTTGTATGGAGTCTTAAATAACTATCTCTGTGCACATATTAGGTATAATCAGCAGGTCTGAGAGTAAAACCTCACCAAATTCTTACATGTTAAAGTAAAGGGAGAGTGGCAGTATACTGACCCAACAACCAACGTGTACCATCTCTAATCACAATAATTATTGACTCTATAATTAGCTCGGGTAGTAAGCATTTCCATGCAAGTTATTGCACATCTGCAAGAGTTTTCGCAATAACTCAAGTGGATGAGTAATAACTATGGCCAAAATGGTTGCTACACAGGCTACTTGCCAATTCTGATCCACACTTTGTTGCAATAATATTTATTTCATATTGTTAGTTTTATACCAGACTGCATCCCCTGGGGTGACAGGCAAGGCTGCATGTAATAATCATGATGCTAAGAACATGCTCATGCAACATTTATGGATCTTTAAACATTGTTCTATTTTTTATGACAGGATTTAAGAAAAAGAAGAAGAAACCAAGAAGACGCAAAAAGAAAAAGAAAGACACTAAAAGATTTGTGTTCAGCAAAACAGGAATAAACACTAGGATTTGTCAACAGAGTTAAACATCAGAGATGCCTCATTCATTTACAATTCAAGTAAGATAAGACATGTTGGCATTCAGATGATAAACTATTTACAAATTACCTTTTGAAGCATTGCTCTTTCTAGATGGCTTGTTTGATTGTCAAAGTACTCTCTTTGACATTTTTATGACAATTTATTTCTGTCAACAGTACAAATAACGGCAGAACATTCTGAGTATCTTTAAAGTCATTCCAAAGGGATTACTATCAGACTGCTGGAATCTTAGCATGTTTTGCACTACTAAAATGGGTAAATTGTGAGGAACATTGTCATGAATCATACTTACCGGTAACTAGTACGAGTCACAATTAAAAATGAACAATTTTTGTTACTAGAAATTGGATTTCTTTTTGTGATTACTTAGTATGAAAATGGTAACTACTATGAAAGTCTGAAATGTTGCATTTACAGTATTACCATTGTTAATACTGTACTTAAAATTTGAAGCATGTCATCTTTATAGTCTGTTAATTTCAAAACCCATTCCAACAATTTTGGGTAACAATAATTATTGTTGGTCAGCAACAAATACCAAAAATATTTGGTAAAAAACTAGTTTTGTTAGACCCTAGTAATGCTAGGTGTTGGATGTTCAGCAATGTTCTTGCACTGTTGAGTCAGTTCCTGGGGTAGCAATATTGAACATACCGCTGAAATAATATCACAACATTGTTGCCTGATATTTCTTGCAAACAACAGCAACTGTAATCTTCAATCATAGGCATCCCTAAAGGTCTGAAACTATAAAATCCAGGGAGCATAGCACGTTTCTTTTGTGAATAGCTTACACCACACTGGGGTCATCTAGCACTGCTGGAACACAGCCCTGTTGTTGTGTGAAAGACTGGGCTTAATATGATTGACAGGTATCTTGCAGTCCAGCGATCCCCACCGCAAAAGATAAATGTAAATTGAATGTTATTGATGTAATATATCAAACATGAGACACAGTGTTTCATCACCAGATGAAACACCGAGAAGAGAGTTGAAAATACGACGCGTAGCGGAGTATTTTTGACGAACTTCGAGGTGTTTCATCTGGTGATGAAACACTGTGTCGAATGTTTGATATTTCTTCTCAAACAAAATCATTTTTGAAGGAGAAATTAAGGATGCAAAAATGAGCAGTTTTTCATCCGATATCCAAACACTCATTAAACATTAATTTCCTTTGAATTTTCTTTATGAATTATTAATGAGTTTGAGAACATTAATTCTTAATGATGTGGCAGTCCATTGATGCAAAATTGATTTTGACAAAGAAAAAGAATAACTTGGAATACACTTCAATGTCTTGATTGATACTGGGTACCTTCTTTGAGGTTTAATCTACTGAAAATGTTATTGTAGTCTCTACAATAACTGAGGAGCCAAAGAGAAGGAATCAGTTTACTGCAACAAGCGGAAATTAACTGAATTCACTTTGCAAGCTTCTTATACCCAGAGTTCTTTTAGTTAATGTTAACATGTTCCTAGTTCCACAAAGAAGGGCTGGCAAACATTAGTTGGGCTTTTGTGTTGTTTTCTCTATAAGTAGCCCAATGGTAAAGCAAAGTTTCATGGCTTGTTAAGAAAAATAACAGACTGAATGCAGGTTGGGCTAGCTTCATGGAGCCCCACCAGAGGCTAGTAAACTGAGTTAATTTCTTGCTCTTTGGGCAGCCAAGCTGACTTGGTTTTCTTTTGTGTGTCTCACCTTGTGCAAACATAGTACAGCAATGGGGAGACATGTGAACTCTGTCAGTCTGAATCGTTGTATTGAGGCAGCCTATAAACTTAGCATTTTATACTCTGGGTTCTTGCATCCTGCCATGTTGTGTCTCTTTCAAAGGGTTTTTTTGTTGTTTTTTGTTCATTATGCTTGCAATACTATTTTAACACATTTTCCGTTTTTAATGCTTATGAATAGAACATGGAGATCCTTCTGGGTTTCGAAATGGAGAAAACTGGGGAAAACCTGGAATACTGAACAGAAAATTTCACCCAAATACTGGATCACATCTTAATACGGGATACTGATAATGAGATCTATTGGGCGTCCCCACCTCCCCCTCCCCTCCCCCCTCCTCTTTACTCCCAGAAATGCCAAAAAAAAATACATTCCCTACCTCTATAATTTATGTACACCTCTGTAAAGCGGACAATTGGTTTTGTCCCTTTACTCTCTGTATTAAAGAGGTTTGACTGTAGAATAACATTCATTATTAGCATACACTGTCCCACAGCAATTTGATCGGATACTTGAATGACTCATAGTCAATCAGTTGATGCCCACTGTGTGGGAACTAACTGCATTGTCCTTATCAGCAGAAAAGAATAATTTCTTTTACCATGAATAAGTTCGTTAAAGGATTCTTGTCTTTGCTGGTAAATGGAGCGAGTTTTACTCTGCTTCTGGTCCTGCTACCAGGGATTAGCACCAATAAAAGTGGTGCATGCAGTAACATTTTTATTTATTCACAATGATTGATTTTAAGTGCTAGGACGATAAAATGTTCGAATTTTGTTTTTGTTCAGACGGAAATGTTTTGTCCGATCGGAAGAAGAACACAATTTACAACCCCATTTTTTTTCTTCTCCCTATTGTATTTTTGTGCACTTTTAAACCTACTGACTTAAAAATGGTCATCTTATTTTGGTTTGACTTTTTAAGCTTTAGACTCTCGTTGTTATTCTATATTAATTATCAAAAATTCCGAATAGGGATGAGGGCTTGAACCTATCATCGATTTACATTCCGCTCGTGGGGATTGGTCACTTTTCTGTTACGCAAACTGTCACCTCACAACGCTGATGGAATCTTGTTGATTCGGACGAAAAATTCGTTTCGTTTCTTATTTTTCCGCTCTGAGTTTTGGAATTTTCTGCACTAAATAATAATAATAATAATAATAATAATAATAATATTAATAATAATAATAATAATAATAATAAAAGAAGAAGAAGAAGAAGAAAAGAGCAATTTAGGTACCTACTCGTTTTCACTGAAATGCCTTAAAACAATGGTACTTACATTTAAACAGTGATACAATTACAATACTTATTATACATTGTACTCACTATCTGTCTTCTTACTGGCTGAGAGCCTACAGCTAATTTGAAAGTTAGCGCAACCTACAGATTAGTTAGTTATCTGTGATAACTGACTAATCTGTAGGTTGCGCACGCAATGCGTGATTTCCAATAACACTATCAATTCAGGTTCCTAGCGACGGTGCCTTTGGTTCCGCTGATAACACTTACCTCGGCCTTGATTATTCCGGATATCACAAAAACCTTATCCAATATATAATTGTTTATAATGATTTGGATATCTCATAAAGAACAAGCACTTGCCTAAACTAAATGATTATCGTAAACTTTTGCGCGATTTTGCAAAATATCATGTCCTGCAAGTGCCCCGGCGCTCATACTCATCGGCTATTAGGGACGACAACGAGAAGGTCAGAAAAACAATAGGTTTTATAAGCAGAACAAAAACTTTGCACGTGCACCGCGCTTTTTTGTACATTTCTTTGCCCGTTTTTGCACGACTACGACGTGAAAATGCCTAATTTCGCTTTTTGTGGGTGACGTAAAGAAGCAACGACGAAATTTTATTTCTCTTTCTGTACTTGGATATGGTCCCTTGGAAATCAACCCAAGGAGGGTTCGCCTACATTTGGCAAAGTAAGTGGGTAGGAATAATTGCGATAAAGACTGTAAGAACGCAAATTCACCTTTTACATGTAAGCGACCTTCTCATTGCCGTCGCGTCGTTTGATCGTAAAGTCTCTATTCTCGTCACTAGAGCCACCCCCTGGGTTGGCCCTCAACGACCACTTCAAAAAAACCGACGGGCCCTGAGGATGAGAATGTACACATACGTACATGGCTGCGCGCGCGCGCACGTAGTGAACTCGTAAGAACCCATTTCGCTAATGCTTTCCACAGGCGGAGTCAAGGCGGCACCCAGCAGAACACCGCAAATTCGCCAAACCACAGACGACGATGATGATTTTGTGATTAGAATTATCGGTGGAGCTATCGTTCTTAGAATGATTTGATGATGTACGCATGTCACTCATGCTTCTCCGCTCCTGCCGTTGCCGACAGGATAACGCGGGCGCAATTCTTAACTTGACAATTAGAGTGCAGTTACCGTGCCAGTTTCCCATCGGTCCATCGTTTCTTCACAAAGACGATGGTGTTACCTTAGTAAACCAAGACAGAACCACATTATTTTCAGTCAGTGGGAATGCAGTAAAAAGAGAGGAGAAAGTAACCTGAGAAAACAGACGCCACTTCGCGACACCACTAACGGTTTCCCCGCGAAATGACATCTGAAAAACGAGCGCAGAAATTCAATACTCATGACGCGTCACTACCAGGGCGGATAAACGCTCAGTATTGAATTTCTGCGCTCGTTTCTCAGACGTCATTTCGCGGGGAAACCGTTAGTGGCGTCGCGAAATGGCGTCTGTTTCCCCAGGCGAAGGAGAAAGACTTTCTTGCGACCACAGGCTCGGCTGGACCTCTAATGTCAAACGTTCGAGGTGTTTTTTTTTTTGTTTTTGTTTTATTTACTGATATTTCATTAACCGATAATTAGAAACAAGGGCAAGTGCGTATAAAATACTTAGTTAACGTAACAACCTGCTCATTATGCTCAAAATATTAAGCTTCTTTCCGTTAAAAATGCTGTGTAACCTAGTAAAATTATGTCTAACTATGGAAAATCATCACAATTTAAATTTGTAGACTATTTATTGTGACCTTTGGTCCCCTCTGCTAACATAGTCAGATGGTACCTAGATTCCCCTCTCTAGGCGAGGCAACTGCGTGTTCCATTAGAGCGTTGCGTGGGAGACTGGGATGGAAGGAAAGCTATTAAAAACTATTACAAAGCTTGAAAAACTATTTCAGTATTGTCAGGGAACACTTCGCAGAGAACTGAGATGACACCTAAGAAGATTAGTCACATTTATTAATCACATTTTACGAGTAGTTCTGACTTAAGAGCTGGCTATACCTTATTGATACTACCCACCTCAGGGAATGTTATGACAAAGGGAAACAGGGTAACAATAACAGTAAGTTTATAAACAAATCCTTTCTCGAGATCAGAAAAGTAAAAGGCGTTTTATGTGTTTAAAGGAGAGATATTCCACCGAAACAATTCTGAGGTGCGTGTTCTTAATGTTATGTAATTTATCAAGCATGAAACGCAGTGTTTCATCTCCAGATGAACCAGCGGAGTATTTTTGACGAACTTCGAGGTGTTTCATCTGGTGATAAAACACTATCAAATGCTTGATATTACACCAGACTTAAAGACAGTAGAAATCGCACAGCAGAACTACAGTTTTTCCCAGACGAAAACTTTTATTAAATACTATTTAGAATAATACATACACAAGAAATCTACTGAAATACAACCGAGAAAAAATTAGAATTTATACATATTTTACATTTTTGGGAATTTTTGTACACTGTAGTATTCTTGCTTATGAAACTTGCGTTAGATTCATCCAAAAGAATGTGTTGTGTTCGCTGCCAGATTGTACTGAAGAATTACAGATGTTTTTGGCAGAAAGTGATAAATACATATTACAACGACAACTGCAGCACAAATTAGGCTTAAATTAGAAAATTTATACAATTTTACACCATAAGAAATTCATTCCCACTTACTGACTGGGCCAAGTACCAGATTCAGTCGAAGGATCTCGTTCGTGTTGAACTTCTGAAGTTCCTCCCTGCATACCAGGCAGTGGCGAACTTCGTATTCCGTGCGGAGAAAGAAAACCGGAAATTACTGGCAGGTGCGTGACTGAAGACGTAATGGGACCACTAATAAACGAATCACCTGGACTTGCACTTTGCGGCTGCGGTGCCTGCAGTGGGGTCCTCATGTGGTTTCCGTACGGGTTAGAATATCCGGGGTTTACTGCCGGGTGCGTGACTGAAGACGTAACAGGACCACTAAGATGTAGACCACCTGAACTTGCACTTTGCGGTTGCGGTGCCAGCAGTGGGGTTCTCATGCGGTTTCCATACGGGTAGGAATATCCGGGGATTACTTGCGGGTGCGTGACTGAAGGCGTAACAGGACCACTAAGATGTAGACCACCTGAACTTGCACTTTGCGGTTGCGGTGCCAGCAGTGGGGTTCTCATGCGGTTTCCATATGGGTAGGAATATCCGGGGATTACTTGCGGGTGCGTGACTGAAGGCGTGACAGGACCACTAAGATAAGGATCACCTGAACTTGTACTTTGTGGCTGCGATGCCAGCAGTGGCGCTCTCATGCGGTTTCCGGGGATTACTGGCGTGTGTATCACGGAAGACGTAACAGGAACACTAAATTGAAGTTGCGGATAACTTGGACTTGCACTTTGCGAATGAAATCCATACTGCGGGGATCGCAGCGTTTCATGAGGGAGGAGACTTTCCAATTTAACTGTGGAGTGGGTATGGGTTGATACGCCAGGACCAATGAGATATGGATCATCTGACATCGTAATTTGCGATTGCAATCCCTGGAGACGCGCTCCTTGCATTCCACGTGGGGGAAGAAATCCCGGGATTCCTTGCGGGTAGGTGACTGTGGAACCTTCGAGATTTAAATCACACGGCATTGTATTTTGGGGATGAACTCTCTGTTGTAGCGGATCCTGCATTCCACGCACGGAAAGATACCCAGAGTGAACAGGAGGGAGAGCAACTGTAGAAATGCCAGAACTGCGGGGATGCGGGTACCCTGGAATTGTACTTCGCGGTTGCCATGCCTCTCCGTAACGGAGGGGATGTTCACTGAAGGGTGCCAGGATGTGGAGGGGGAAATGCGACGTAGGAGTGGGAGCTCCTAGAGAAAATAAAATAAAAATTAAGATCCCACGATATAACATAAAGGTGCAGTGTAAACGACAGGTTTCACACTCGTGTTCTTTAAGTAGATTTCTCCTTTTAGGCTTTTCTAGCATTATACGCCTTCTTAGGTTATTGTACAATATTAGAAATTAAAGCAACGCCCAATTAGTCAACACAAGAAAATGTCCAGTTTGGAGGTATTAGAAGACAGACTGTAGAAGAAAAGTGCCTTCAGCCCCAGCAGTTCAAAAGGTAAATAGTGCTGTTTACTGGGTATCTCACTCTCTAATGCATAAAGGTGTCGGGTTCTTAAATACGCATCATCCGGTTGGTGATTTTCCTGGTGGATAGCGCTATCCAACTATTCAAAACACCCGGGCCTGTTTCTGTGTATTTTGGTAAGGAAGACAAGTTGCAGTACTACGTTAAGTGCTGTACATTGTCTTATTGGTACTCAAGTCAGTCATGGCGTTACTAGCTTATTAAATTGTAGAATTTTGTTTTAGTTGTAACATGGATGAAAACCTTACTAGCAGAATGGAGAGGCACTGGAACTGGTCCTGCGGTTCCAGGATCGTGTGACGGCACGTCCTGAGTACTGGGGCGAGTTTCGCTCTGTAAAAAGGGACCAAGTATCAGTACGGAACCAAAGTAAACGTGTGATCTCCCGCTAACAAACATTTCACAGTTTTTAAGATCACTCAGCTAAGCGTATGATCTAGGAAATAATCAGCTGACCCTTTCTGTCAAAAGCTAACTCTCTCTAAGATGGATTCCAACTCCAATTGTCCGCTTCAGAGTGGTGTCCGCGTCTTAGTGGTATAAAAGGTTAAGTTACAGTAGAATGATTGGAAAGCTGCAGAGAAGAGACCAACACCCAGTGTCCGGCTTACCGGCAGAGTTTTCAGCCTAATAGAGAGGTTAGTTACAGGGTTGTACGTCGAGTTCTAACACGTTTATAGCCCAGCGAAGTTGAATAACTCTCCTTCTAACACGTTTTTTACTTAGAAGGCGCCTGTTCCATGAAGTCTCTCTCGGTAAATATAAATCCTAGCCTATGATTAAAAACAATTTCGTGAATAAAACCTCATTACCTCATTAACAGACAAACAACCCACCTCGGGCTCGTCCTGTGAGACTGTAGACAGGCCAGAACCTGTGAAAAGATGCGAATCGTTACCCAAAGATCCTCCAGGTGTTAAGATGGTGGAGGGGGCACTGTGGTGATAGGTGTATATATCAGGTGAGGAGTAATGCTGTGAATACTGAACGTTATGAAGGAGGGTACCACTGTAGGCTGCAGCGGGTGTCAGACCGTGACTGGATCCATGTGCTGTAGAAATGGACGACACTGCTAACATTGGATCTGCTAAAGGAACAAAAAAGAAACCACGTCACATGATGGTATAAACGAAACCATCGATTTCTGACTGATAGACTTCTGGAACATTTATCCTTTCTTAATGTTATGTTCCCCCTGTTTTACTACTAAATTTATATAATTACTGCAAACAGCGCTCACTTTACGGAACACCGGGAAAATGCCTACATCGGAACAAGATCTTTTCCTTTTAAACTTCCCCAGTGACTGTTCTGCTTTTCGTTTCTGTATATGATAGCGAGGCCTGGTTCGTTAAATACTCATGCCGGGTAGTACTAGGTAGAATACCTTTTTGGTCTATAAACAGACTAATGGATAAACATAATTGTGAAAGTCCGATTTCCTTCATAAAAATTACTGACAGGATGCGACAACAGCAACTTGGTGCACGTCTACACCGCAATTATTAAAAAGAAGGACATCTCAGAAAAGAAAACTGACGTTTGACCAAGAAACCTTACCGGTAGGATCAGGAGGCGCTGAAAATGTTCTTCCCACGGTGTCTCGATCGTCAGCGGGGAATGGTGAGTCGTGAATACTGAGGGGAGTCTCTGCAGGAATCTGTTCGAGTGGTAAAAGAAAACAAGAGTTTATCAGAGCCTGTTCCAGGCTTTCAGATAGTGGAGAGTGGCACTTTCCACTATCTGAACGCCTCAAACAGGCTAAGAGTTGATGAGCCGATAAGATGGTTGAGCAAAAACAAGCTCTTCTGTTAGTAATGAAAACAACACTATACAAACACAGAACCTCAGTCTACTGTTGACACATCTCAAAGATCCACATTTTCTCGCGGCTTGTATAAACTTCACGTACGAAAATCAGCAAGTTTTTTCAAAGTGCACGATTAAATCGACTTCCCGAACGGTAAAAAACGTATGAAGAAAACTTCAGGTTGTTTCCAAAACCAGAGGTGTTTCCAAAACGGATTGCAGTCCGTTGCAATATTGTTCGAACAGTAACTTCCACAATTAAAAGCCATCGTTGTAAGAGAACCGTCGGTTTCGGTATGACTTAGCTCACTTCTTAAAAGAAGTGAGCTAAGAGCCTAAGACCACAAAAATAACTTGTTATCGTTAGTAAGACTTATATTCAACTGCACTGTTTTGATTTGACTCAGTTTTTGTGAAATCGCGACTAGAAAAAAAAAACCAGCCTGAAACTACTATGATACAAAACATATTTCCTGTTCCCTCAGTTTCAGTTTATAATAAGTGAACTCCTGAAAAGCTGAAGAAAAACCATACGTTTTTAAACGGAATGTTTTTTTTTTTCCAGTTTTTTTTTCCCCAGGAAATAACCAAACTCAGGAAATATTATACTCGATTTTCTTTTGCCAAAGTTGATGACCAACCTGTTGCTTTTGCGTCTGTGATTCAGTTGATGAGTGAGAAAAGAGACTGGGGTACTTCTTTTTCCAAAAGTCTTCTGACGGCCATTCATGTTCAGGGTAGGGGTTCCCGTCAAAATCCTACAACAAATCACAAAATAACACTAGCACCATTCAACTTTTAAAGCAACGTTTAAAAGATCGAAAGTGTAGTCTAGATTTTAAAACCTTTCATTAAGTGATAAGCAATTAAAGGGTAAAAATAACCCCAGGGGTTAACTACTATGTGATGGGGACGTGAATGCTCATCGGACAACTAGAATTTTACCCTTAACCCATTAAGCCCCAATATATAAAAAACAAATTCTCCACACTAGTGTCCATACATTGCCTTATAGAAGTAGTTGAGAGAACTTGATAAAAGATCAAAGTACTCAGTCTCCTTTATTCATCAGCTTATTACTTCTCCTAGCCTTTTCTATTGATGATGTTTTGATAATGTCAGGAGAAAGTTTATGTTGATCACCCTTGGAACTTTAAGACCAATCTGAGTAAAGCTCAAGCTGATTCCACCCCGAAAAGAGGTCATTTCTAAAACACATAGTCAAAGTAGTACTATAGAAATTTCTGCTTGCGACAAAGACGTTTTTCTTCTTTAATTTAGTTATATTTAGGACTAAACAAGAGATTTCGCTCATTTTGCAATCCGTTCCGAGGTCTTATTTAGTTCAAAGTCTTAAAATCCACGTCCCTAAACAGTAATTTCGTCCTGAATGGTCTTGCGAGTACCGCTGCGCTAAAAAACTTTCTTGTGAGTGTCTCAAAATTAAGGCTGCTTTTCACTAGTGGCAGAGTCGAAGTCGGAGTCGGAGTCGTTATCAAAAGCGTAGACCTTATGATCTAGTGAAAACAGCGTTCGATTCCGCTTAAGTTCCGCTTATGATCTAGTGAAAACCAGATTGTCAGAGCCGGAAGCAGAAGCGAAAGAACGAAACCAATCACAAAGCGTGAGAACGTGCATCGGGATTGGTTTCTCCTTCTGCTTCTGCTTCCGATTCTGACAACCTGGTTTTCACTAAATCATAAGCGGAACGTAAGCGGAGTCGGAAGAAATGGAAACGTTCTAATTCTTCTGACTCCGATTCCGGCGCGCTTATCACGCCTCTTATGACCTGAGATCAGGCCCAATTTTAGCGGTTCTCATGCATTCTCTCTAACGGCTACCGCTAAAAAAATCGCCTTGCCCGCCCTAATGTAATTTTCAAAGCGAAACGAAAACAGAGCCTGATCTCAGGTTACTCCGCTTACGACTCCGATTTTTGATTTTCACTAGGTCATAAGCCAGGGGCACCCAACGAGAATATAGTTCAAAACCACATAAACATAGCATTGTTGAACGTACTTTAGAATTTAAACAGTAGATAAAGGCTTATTTTTATCCCCTAAAAATTTTTCATCTGTTCGGATTTCCTAGCTGAAAGTATAGTGATCCGAAAATTATAGGGATCAAAATCTACCTTTCCGAAAATTTCAGCCAGAAAAAAGGCTCCCGAAAATTCTAGGTGACCTTATTAGGGTAAAAATCCGTTAAAAATGGGCAATTATACCATTTTTTTGATGTTCGAAAATCCTAGGAGAAGCAGGCAAGCAAGAAATTTTTCAGAAAATGATCCGAAAATTCTAGATCTCAAATCGTCTTCCGAACAGATAATTTTCCGAAAATTGTCGTTGGGTGCCCCTGATAAGCAATCTTACGACTCCAACTCCGACTCCGTCGCTAGTGGAAACCACCCTTTAGGTTGCTGCACGAGAAGTTCCTGATTTTTTCTTGTCAACCCTAAATTTCCGAATTTTTGTGCCGTTTAATAGTGATTAGAAATTACCTACATACAGAAAAAGCAAGGGCCTCACGAAATAAAGTTCTGTTGAAAAAAGGAGTTAAAAATACGAAAACGAGGGGAAAACGACAAAACCAAAAAAAAATACATCTGACTTCTTGGACACACCTCTAAAGGTGCCCGCAGCTTAAAGACCACATTCTACTTTTCAACCCCTAAAATTTGCATGCAAGACTTTCAAAACAGCAAAATCAAATAATATACTCTTAAAATGTGCGAATTATTGAAACCTTGGAGCCCTTTCTTCTATTAACCTTGGTCTCATAAAATCCTCACAGATCAGTTTTTCCTTAGTGGGGGTTGGGAGGGGAGGCGCAAAAAAACCTGCGTCTCGTCTGAAAAAACGCTTGCTGCGCTGCATAACGAAAGGTGGGAAAATTCTACCACGTGGATAGTTATATAACCAATCAGCTGTCGCCACGTCACAAGCCTCCTCTCACGCCACTTTGAATGACAGTTTGCTGGTTTTGTAGTTTGTTGTTCACTTCAGTTGAGTTTGCTCATCAAAGAAAACTTTCAACGCAAAAATACTCAAGATGGACTCAAAAAGAATGAGAAAACACCGTAAAATACCAGTTAAGAGAAAAATTCGTCTCGTGTACTCAGGAATTTGTCAAAGGATTTGTGCAAGCTAAAGGAAACTACATTTATGAACTTCAACTCATTCATACAAGACACGAAGTGGCGCAGGATTTCTTGTGTTCGTCGTAAAACTGGAAAACAAGTAACCGACAAAAATACACAGCTAGTACCATTGAGGAGTGCTTTTACCTATGATTTAATGTATGGTGTTAAATTTCAACCAAAGTGTCTCAGAGGAATTATATTTTTTGTGGAACGCTATCTCAAAAACCTACGCTACAGTCAGGTTATTTACGGGAGGACAAGCATTTACCGAAACGCAAGGGACATTCAAACAAAAGGACAGCTCTAAAAAGACTTCTTCGTTTTCTGGACTCTCAAAGAAACTTTACTTGAGTTTAGCTGATTTTACGAAAACCTTAGAGATAAAAGTGAAACTGTAAGTGGTTAACCTTTTTTTCTCTTGATTTTTGCAAATTTTGTTTGTTTGAATTGAACATGAACACAACATTTTTTTGATTTTATGCTTGTTATTCATCATTTTATGAAAAGTAATGAATTAAAATTGATTGAGAAATTAATACTATGGAATTTTTGTTTTAATACATATATCACAAGTTTGTTAAGTCAGCTCATATCGAGTTGAACCAGACTCGAAGAGAAATTTCATATCTGCTCGCTGATCCATTATTTTGCACAGTGAAAACACCTTCAGATTAATTTACTTGTTCTCGGTTAAAACATTTTTTTGGATTTAGTTTAATCAATTGAAAGGAATGAATTTGAAATGATACTTTGAATCTGCTAAAGTTTGTGATTTGTTTTCAAAAGTAAATCTCGTGTTTTGTCGAGTATAAAAATGACAAAGAAAGGAAAATGGCGAAAGGCAAGAGCTGAGTAGAAATAAACTGTAAACAAAGAATAAAGAAACAAATTGCGATAAAATTGGAAAACTTACGTGGTAGTATGACACCAGTAGAGTGATGTTGCTGTGCTGCTTGATGGCTGATGACAGATCCATCACCTGCTGTGGAGTCATCTTCACTCCTCCAAGCCCCAGTCCCTTCAGGTGAGGAGCGCAGCTGAGATGTTGAATCAAGCTGTCTACTCCTGCACCCAGAAGAGGATTGGATGACATGTGGAGCGACTCCAAGTTTGGTGCTTTTTTAAATAAATTGCTGATGAACAACTCCACAGCAGGTGATGATGTTACTTCATTGGGTCCAATTCCAGAGCTTCAACCTCAGAAAACTCTTGGACTATGTCTTCTGGCAACTACGGTAAATGAAGCATTAATTCCTTCAGTTTGTGTGTTACTTGGATGTTCCTCAGCAGAGACTCTGTTACCTCAGCATCCAACACTTCACCGTGTTCACCCACAACCATTATCTGGTGTGGAGCGGTGATAAACGCCATCATCTCAATCAGCTGTTCCACTTCTGACCTGTTCACCCACCGAGCTTTAATCCTCCGAACCCTGGAGAGACCATGACGCTTTGAACAACAGCTGCTGCTGCTCTCTTCACTTGACTCATCACCATTCATGTTTGTCTTCTTTGTTGTCTCTTGTTTACTTATTAGCGCCTTTATTATATCACAAGGAAAAGGAATGTCTTCATCTTTATCTTTAACAATTTTAGCTAAATAAAGGTGAGTGTTGTTTTCTTCTTTCTTTAAAAAAAATTCACCAATATGACGCCATGTTAAGTTGCTTAAAATTTCTGATGCTTTCTTTTCTCCTGCAGAGCTAACAATAACTGCGTTTAATTGTTGTGTTAAAATGATTAAATTACTATAGTCCTGCTCCTTTGTACTAAAAAAAACGTAGTTGGGTGTTTCGGCAGTTTGAACTAATTTTTCCATTACGATAACATTTAGCTGCTTATCATTAATTACAAGAACTCCTCCTAAAGAGGAAAGAAATGTAGGAAAGAGGTTTTTTCTTGTCTCAGCTGAGCAGTAGAAAAATAACTCATTACAAAGACTAATAAAATTTCTTTGTTCTTCTGACAAGTCCTTCTTTGAGGGTGTTTCGTTGTCGAATTTAAACTCTGTCAGTTCTTCTTTCTTCGCCGCCATTCCAAGTTGAATCAGAATGTCGCGCGCGGCTTCTTCTGACAACTCACCAGCAAATTTGAGCGCTTCATTTATTTTAAAGATCTTTTCAACTGAGTCCACGTTTGACAGGGAATTGGTGCCTTCAGCCTTTTTAGATGTCAGGTCTTCTTTTAGGAAATTCCCAGCCAGGTATTCTTGGACGGATTTGTGAATAAAGTACACGCCTTTTTCAGGATTCAAAGTCGCCATATTTAAAACCTGAAAAAGGCCGACTTCAATCAGCCTCTCGATTAAACTGTAGCCAGCAGGTAACTGACTAAAAGGGAAATAAAGCTGGCCTTGCAAAAGGGCTTTAAAGGCCAAGCGTCCTAATGCGTATAATTCATCTGAGTAATCTTTGGCAGAAACCGATTCTTCAGCAGACTTTTTTTCACACATGTGATCAAACATGGTTGTCATGAACTGGGCGAAGATGTCTGCGCGTTCTTTTGGTAGTTCTTCACGTGTTGTTTTTGTCCAGAGCAAGCACAACATTAAGAGCAGTAGGGGAATTTGTGCTAGTTCACTTAGGTTGTGCTGCCATAAGTACATAAAAAAATCTTCAATATCTTTATCATCTTTCAAAAATCTACGGGCGAACTCTTCTTGGCGCTGATAATTAAAGCCGTCAATTTTAAATTGAGCATCACTATAATTTCTCAACGTCTCAGCTTTCATTTCCCTTGAAGTAATTACAACACAACAATCTCTTAATTGACTTTTTTTCCAGATTTTGAAGACAGGCGACTCGTTTTTTGAATTGTAAACATATTCATCGTAGCCGTCCAAGATAAGCAAGACTTTTTCTTGATGGCGACGAACGTAATCATACAAGTTGTGTACAGAAATTGCACCATTACTATCCAGCACTTCACAAGCCGTTAGAATGGACGGAACATCCTGGAGATTACTAACATCACGTAATCTCACCAGAAGGACAAGATCAAATGCTCCTAATGTTTCTGAATATCTCTGCTGGGACCAGTCAAAAGTTGCTTTCTTCGTGAAAACAGTCTTGCCGATACCTAGGTGACAATAACAACAAACTGTCAATACGTCTTCTAAACATTGGTTTACTTTTATCATGTGAAGTCACGTGAAGTGGAATGTAAAATATTGAAATGGGAATTTATAATTGTCATAAAAATTTAGGATAATTTATTTATTTTATTTTTTACGGAATATTTATGTTTAAACTTTTTAAACCAATGCAGAGTGAACAACACTGTTCTAATGCGACAGAACAGCTCACAACTGCAAATTCTGCTCAAATACACTCGCTCCCTTTCAAGTGAAAATTTCTTTTCAACACAACTCTTCTCCTTAGACACTTCACCTTCTCCTCTCACATTCAGAAAAAAAAAATCCACATAATTTATCAAACTTCAACAAACGTGTACATCATCATTACAATAGATGTTACAGATGCAAGGCAGGTGCGTAGTCGCCACTAAAAATGTTTAAGTCTTATTTGGCATTTCTTGCGCATGCTCCGAAAATTTCCCGCCACTTCAGACAATCTTAGACAAAAACCTTGAAACACTTTGGAAAATTCTGGTCCCTTTTGTTTTCCCCCTCCCTTTTACAATGTTGTTGTAGCTGTTGTGGTTTAATTTTATCCTTGGTTTAATTTTTATTTCCCATTGTTTTAAACTCATCGTCATACATTACCGTACCCCAAAACAAAGGGAAATCAAATTTAAACCAAGGATAAAATTGAACCACAACATAGCCACGCAACTTGGCAATAACATCTCAACATTGCAGGGGGAAAGGGACGTGCATAGGTGTTTCAGGGATTTTTGGCCAGGATTGTAGCATCCAGGGATGCTACAATCCTCGCTATGTTCTGACAACTGCATGCAAATCCTTCAAAGGCCAATTTTAGAGGATTTGTATGGAGTCTTAAATAACTATCTCTGTGCACGTATTAGGTATAAGTAGCAGGTCTGAGAGTAAAACCTCACCAGATTCGTACATGTAAAAGTAAAGGGAGAGTGGCAGTATACTGGCCCAACAACCAACGTGTACCATCTCTGATTACAATAATTATTAACTCTATCATTAGTCCGGGTAGTAAGCATTTCCACGCAAGTTATTGCACATCTGCAAGAGCTTTCACAATAACTCAAGTGGATGAGTAATTACTACGGTTGAAATGGTTGCTACACAGGCTACTTGCCAATTCTGATCCACACTTTATTGCAATAATAATTTAATATTGTTAGTTTTATACCTGACTATATCCCCTGGGGTGACAGGCAAGGCTGCATGTAGTAATCATGATACTAAGAACATGATGTCTCCAAAGGAGACAGGTCTTACTCATGCAACATTTATGGATTTTTAAATATTGTTCCTTTCTTTATTACAGGATTTAAGAAAAAGAAGGAGAAACCAAGAGGACGCAAAAAGAAGGAGAAAGACATTACAAGATTTGTGTTCAGAAAAACAGGAATAAACACTAGGATTTGTCAATGGAGTTAAACATCAGAGATGCTCATTCATTTACAATTCAAGTAAGATAAGAGATGTTGGCATTCAGATGATAACCTATTTACAAATTACCTTCTGAAGCATTGCTCTTTCTAGATGGCATGTTTGATTGTCAAAGTACTCTCTTTGACATTTTTATGACAATTTTTGTCAACAGCGCAAATAACCGCAGAACATTCTGAGTACCTTTAAAGTCATTCCAAAGGGATTACTATCAGACTGCTGGAATCTTAGCATGTTTTGCACTACTAAAATGGGTAAATTGTTTAGGAACACTGTCATGAATCATACTTGCCGGTAACTAGTACGAGTCACAATTAAAAATGAACAATTTTGTCACTAGAAATTGGATTTCTTTTTGTGATTACTTAGTATGAAAATGGTAACTACTATGAAAGTCTGAAATGTTACATTTACAGTATTACCATTGTTAATACTGTACTTAAAATTTGAAGCATGTCATCTTTATAGTCTGTTAATTGCAACAGATCTACTTATACAGATACATGCTCAGAAGAAAACCCATTCCAACAATTTTGGGTAACAATAATATTATTGTTGGTCAGCAACAAATACCAAAAATATTTGGTAAAAAACTCGTTTTTTTAGACCCTAGTAATGCTAGTTGTTGGATGTTCAGCAATGTTCTTGCACTGTTGAGTCAGTTCCTGGGGTAGCAATATTGAACATACCGCTGAAATAATATCACAACATTGTTGCCTGATATTTCTTGCAAACAACAGCAACTGAAATCTTCAATCATAGGGATCCCTAAAGCTCTGAAACTATAAAATCCAGGGAGCATAGCACGTTTCTTTTGTGAATAGCTTACACCACACCAGGGTCATCTAGCACTGCTGGAACACAGCCCTGTTGTTGTGTGAAAGACTCGGCTTAATATGATTGACAGGTATCTTGCAGTCCAGCGATCCTCACCACAAAAAATAAACGTAAATTGAATGTTATTGATCATTAATTCTTAATGATGTGGCAGTCCATTGATGCAAAATTGATTTTGACAAAGAAAAAGAATAACTTGGAATACACTTCAATGTGTTGATATACTGGGTACCTTCTTTGAGGTTTAATCTACTGAAAATGTTATTGTAGTCTCTACAATAACTGAGGAGCCAAAGAGAAGCAATCAGTTTACTGCAACAAGCGGAAATTAACTGAATTCACTTTGCAAGCTTTTTATACCCAGAGTTCTTTTAATTAATGTTAAAATGTTCCTAGTTCCACAAAGAAGGGCTGGCAAAACATTAGTTGGGCTTTTGTGTTGTTTTCTCTATAAGTAGCCCAATGGTAAAGCAAAGTTTCATGGCTTGTTAAGAAAAGTAACAGACT